TCTCTCTCTCTCTCTCTCTCTCTCTCTCTCTCTCTCTCTCTCTCTCTCTCCAGAGAAAAGACTACATGAGGATACAGTGTTAGATGTGCATATGAGCCAGGAGGGGAGATCTAATGAGAACCCTACCCTGCAGGCTTCTGGTGCTTGAATGTGAACTTTCTTGTGAACTCTCATTCCTGAGAAAGCACAGTATGCTGCCTCAGCACCCGGCCTGCAGTCCTGTCTCGTACCGGCACAGGCAGAACAGTGTGCTTCCCAAGTTCATACTCATTCTAAGTTCCCAGGTGGTTTCCATATGTACCTCACAGAAAATGAAACCTTTCAAAGTCAGCATTCTACCGAAGCAAGAGAGGCTATCAACAAGGGCTGTGGATAGATCCTGTTTACTTTGATTTGGCTCATATTCATCTTTCTTTGGATGTAATTTCAAAAATAGTTACCCTATATCCTCTGCCAAGGCAGAGTCTGGGAAAGGTAAGAAAAGGGTTCTGCTAATTCTTCTGCTCAGCATTTGGATTGAAGCTGTAACTGGAGACTCTGAAATCACTGAGGCCCTTATCCTCCCCTTACTCTCCCCACACTCAGCTTGATCTCAGAGGGGCGCCCCCTTGCCTTTCCTTTCGTGTTCTAGAATGCGGCCAAGACCAAGAAAATAAAAAGATGACTCATGATGCTGGAGGCTCTGAGTTCAAACAGTTCACCCTGGTCACCCTGGTCACAGAGAATGGAGACAGAGTTGGATTTCTTGCATCTGTTGCATGACCTTTCCAATGCCACAGTGCTTGGGAGGTCAGGAGAATCTGAGAGTCTGTCACTTGGTTGATATGGTGGTTACCCAAACTAAAGAAAGCACGACCTTTTAACTGCTTTCTTAACCTCAAAACCGTGCAGTTTGATTAAGAAGAGGGTATTTCCACCTTCCCAGTAGAACGCAAAAATGAAAAAAACTGATTCAACTTTCAAAAAGACTCAAACCTCGTACAATAATTCATGGACATGCAGTAAAATATATGACCTGTTTTGGTAGATAAAATACAAGCATCAAGTTAAGACATTTAAAAATCATAGAATAGCTGATAGCAACACTACCCACTCCCTCTCCCCCCCACCCTCTACCCCCTAACCCTTCTGTCCTGGAACTCATTATGTAGCCTAAGCTGGCCTCACACTCAAGGCACTCCACCTGCTTTAGCCTCCCAGATGCTGGCATTACAGGCATGAGCCACCACACCCATCGTAAATAAGGTAATGCAGCTAGGTAATATCACTTTTTCTCCAGCAGAGAGAGGGGTTGAACCCAAGTTCTCACAAATGTTAGATGACCTTTCTAGCCACCGAGTCACATCCCCACACAACTTCCTTTGTATCTGTTCACAAATGACAGCTACTCATTTTTCTATGGAACTCCTGCAGGCATGGAACGGTGAAAGCATTTTTTCAGTCAATTCCTGCAGAAAGTTTGTCAAGTTTTTCTCTATGGAAGAAGTCTACAGACTGTGCAATGAGCAACAATCTGTTTCTATGGTCTGTGTTTTAGACCAGGTTTTAGCCGAGCAATGGATAGCTATGATATGTTGAATTTGGGTAATAGTTGAAATTCATAACTCTATCATAAAACCATCCTATGCCACTACACCATTCAATATTGTTATGCCTGTCACCCTAATACATCTTCCCACAGGCCTTTTGTGGAAATAACATTTTCCTGATAAAATTTAAATGAATGCATTAAAAAGCATATGTCAGTTTCCACAAAAGCCACTCAATTATAAGATTTTGTGATACTTTTTTGTTCTGTTTTGTGATACTGACCTGAATCCTTTGTAACAGAATCTATGTATTGAACCATTAACTCAGTTATCAGTCTGTCTTAGTGGAGAAGCTTGCGAGTGATGGCTAGACTACGGCATTGGATAGGACAACCTTGGCTGCCAGCAGACAAGCCAGAATCAAGCAGTCTTCAGGAAATGTGTTAGTGTGTGTAACTGGAAGTCTGTGTGAGAGTAAAGAATGCATGATGAGCGATGCTTTTCTGTCACCACAGACACATGGTTCTTCCATCTCTACCTCTGCCGACCCTAGCATTAGTTTCATTATGAGGCTGGCTTCCTTCATGATTTCAA